TTTCACAGAATATATTGAAAAGTGGATGGACTGTATATTTTGTGGGTGAATCGTGGCAGCCAATTGTGCACAGCAGCGTCCCACAAACAGCCATGGAGTGAGTGACCGATTTTATTTGGTGTTTTGTTGGCCAGGACACCAAGAAAGAGAAACTCCCTTCTCATTTTGAATAGCGCCGCGGGATCTTTAACATCCACCTGAACAGGTAGACGGGAACTCGACTCATCCAAAGGACAGATTTCTTTGCTCTCTGTTTCTTCAATCCCTCTTTCTTTCTTTCTTTCTTTCTTTCTTTCTTTCTTTCTTTCTTTCTTTCTTTCTTTCTTTCTTTCTTTCTTTCTTTCTTTCTTTCTTTCTTTCTTTCTTTCTTTCTTTCTTTCTTTCTTTCTTTCTTTTTCTTTCTTTCTTTCTTTCCCTCTCTCTCTCTCTCTTTCTTTCACAAGATGAAACATTGAGTTATTCTCTAACACAGGATGGGTGGGTGGAGGTAACGTGAATACTTTAAAAATCTTAAAATGCCTTCATATATCATGTGGAGAGAGAGAGAGGGAGAGAGGGAGAGGGAGTTTGAGTTAATAAAACGTGAGTTGGACAGTGGGGTCGGTGTGTTGCGGGTGTCTAAAATCACACAATGCAAATCGAATTTCTTTCGAGTTGCAAATGTGTTCGTAAAGTCGCAAGTGAATGCGCTTTTTTTCTTTAACAAAACCGAACAGATAGATTCCTTCTGCCACGGTGTGGTGTAGGGCTGAAGCAGACCAGCTGTGGTTTGACCGTCTCAGCTTCTGCTCCATCACTGGTAAATGACCCCCAGCACCACAGCTCCAAATAGTTACCCGGAAAACACGTCCAGCGAATGAAACATTCCTGGTCACTTGTCACTGCAGAGACTCCATTCTCACTGAACGAATTTCAACTTCAATGAGCAGACTTTTTCTGGCGAATATGTTGTGGCGAAATGTTTCCGTGTTTACAATAAGGGTTTCAAAGGAAATCTCTGGCCTTGAGCTGTTTAGTAAGATCAAGTGTCACCCTCCCGACCAGCCTCCCAATTTAGTGCTTTAATAAGACAGTAATGTCAACTCTCCCACAGCTTCCCGTCACCATGTAAAAGGGACGGAAACTGCCCGCTGTATTGACAGAGGTTTTGTCAGCACAGCTGTCCTGACACAACCCCCACATCTATTCAACATAATCCCCCACCTCCCCTCTCCCCTCCTCCTCCTTATTGTCTCCCCCCCACCCCCACCCTCACCATCCAGCACAGGCAAATTACACATCTCAGCCTGACTCACTGCTCCGGCCTCTGGGGCAGAAGGTTATAATAATATAATAATACTTCTATTTTGATATAGCGCCTTATCACGTCATGGAGATTGTCTCAAAGCGCTTCATTGAATATACTGTAAAGTGAATTGACTGTATATTTTGTGGACAAAATGCAGCAGCCAATTGGGCACAGCAGGATTGAGTGATCAAATTATTATTTATTTTTGAAGGGATTATTATTGAAGGGAAAACAATCCTCCAATTGACTAACAACAGGGTTCCTACTTACTGCTAGGTAAACAGAGGCTTTTGGAGTAAGGAAACTTGCCTAAGGTTTCGCCCCATCCGGGAATCGAACCTGGGTCCTCTCGTGAGCAAGGCAGATTGTCCTCTTTGACCGTGCCTTTGATTATCCTCCCACCCAACCTTGTCTGTTGAGGTAGACGTTAAAGATCCCATGGCACTATTCGAAAAGAGAAAGGAGTTTTTCTTTCCAGGTATCCTGGCCAACAATCCATAAAATTAATCACTCACTTCATGGCTGTTTGTGTGCATACTGGCTGTTGCGTTTTGCCCACAAATTATAGTCACTACCCCCTACAATATACCTTGTGAAGCACTTTGAGATGCCTCACCATGATAAGGCGCTATATCAAATGCAAGGATTATTATTGTTGGAGGACAGGCGCGTTGAGTTTGGTCGAGGTGAGGACGTGGGTGGTGGAGTTGGACCTTGTGGATGATGGAGCTGGGAAGAACAGCGAGCAGCGAGCTTGAGAAATCGAGGTAGGAGGTGACAAGAGTGTCGATAGCATTGCATCTACAACATTTACAGCATTGAGCTGCCTCAACACTAAACGTCCGCTCTGAGCAATGAGGAAGCAAGAACAGAGGAAATATGAAGTGGTCACTGAGTCAGTCACCGGAGAGCGCAAGTTTAATACCATTCATATTATAATAATTCTTATAACAATAAATTTGTATGGTGCCTTTCACTTCGGGAGGACATCCCAAGACACTGCAAGGTCAGGGATTTTGACCCGAGCTGGTGGTTGGGATCAGGAGGGGTGGAGGGCAGGGAGAGTGGGGGTAGGAGGATGACCGAAGGCACATTCGAAGAGGAAGGTCTTGAGACGGGCCTTGAAAGAGGCGAGCATTGGGGTGATGGGAGTGTGGAGTTCGGTGCGGGTAAGGATACAGAGGTGGTGGAGCTGGGGAGACTGTCGAGAAGGGGTGCAGTGTAGTGCCTTTGTGTAGGTGAAACACGGCAGCCAATTGCACACAGCAGTGTCCCACAAACAACGATGGAGTAAGTAACCAATTTTATCTGGGAGATGGTTGGCCAGGACACCGGAACAGAGAAACTCTTCTTTTCGAATAGCGCCGTGGGATCTTTAACATCCACCTGGACAGGCACATGGGACCTCAGTGGTGTGGGGAGGGAGTGAAAAGAGCTCTTTCAGGGAACCGGCACAAGCACAAGGCTGTGTTGCCCCCTCATGGGGGAAATGAGCCTGACAGCCACACTGGGATGAAGCCTCATACTGAAGAATGCTTATTTGGTAATCTCTAGCGCCTCCATGTGGTAGCATGCAGCAATTGCACCCCATGTCTCAGAATCCATAAACACTATAAATTAGCAAATAGAAGTATAAATTAGCAAATAGAGGATCTAAAGGAGAATTTCGGAGAGATTAATAATAAATAATAATCCTTGCATTTGATACAGCGCTTTTCACGTCGGGAGGACGTCCCAAAACGCTTCACAGAACACACTGTAAAGTGAATTGACTGTATATTTGTGGGCGAACGCGGCAGCCAATTGCGCACAGCAATGTCCCACAAACAGTCGTAGATTCAAAATGACCAATTTATTATTGTTTTGTTTTGGAGGGATTATTATTAGGGGTGTGGAGTAAGGAAACTTGCCCAAGGTTTCGCCCTCTGCCTGGAATTGAACTCAGGTCTCTCGCTTGCAAAGCGAGTGCTCTAACCGCTGAGCTACAGGACTCCACACAAAGTGAGAATGTGGAACTCTCCACTGCAGATGAAACAGATAATGTAGATGTATTTAATAAATAATAATCCTTGTATTTGATATAGCGCCTTTCATATAAGGAGGACATCCAAATTGCTTCACAGAAAAGGGCAGTGAAAGTGTTTTTGTGTGCAGGTGAACATGACAGCCAATATGAATACAACAGAAGCCCACAAACGGCCAGGTTAAACTCCCATCTTTTTGAATAGTGCAGCGAGATTTTCAAAGTCCACCTGAACAGACACAGACGGGAGCTTGGTTTAATGTTTCATCCAAAGGACAAAAAAGGAAGCTGGACAACAAAACAACTTGCATTTATATAGCGGCCCTCACAGAGCGTAGCATCCCAGAGCACTTGAACTAGACCTTCACATGAGGGAGAGAGGAAGATAGAGAGTGGGAAGGAATGAGAAGTGAGGGTAACTCATGTGGAGTATAAACATCAGCACAGACTGGTTTGGTGAGTGGCCTGCTTTCGTGCTGTACAGTCTGTGTAAGTTGGATAGAGTTATTTTGGTTTGTTCATTATATGGTTTTCATTATTCCCTCGAGGACAGAGAATCATACATTAATATACAAAGCCCAATGGATCAGTAATTGAAGTACTATCAATCACTATACATACACTCAACAAATCAAATATTAGATATTAGAACTATAATTTTTGTGTTTGATACAGCGTCTTATCACATCATCGAAACATCTCAAAGCAATTCACACGATTTACTGGAACAACAACGACAAGATTTCATTTAGAGCGCCTTTCACCTCGGGAGGACGCCCCAAGGCACTGGACAGTTGGGTCAGGACCCGACATGGGGGAAATGGTCAGGGTGAGGGGAGGGAAGGGAGGGAGCGAGGAGGGGGAAGATGGAGTGACTCTGTATTTTCTCAGTGAAAGTGACAGCTAATCTGTGCACAGCAACATCCTGCAAACAGCCAATAGTGTGTAACTAACTCAGTGTGAGTGTATATAACTAACCTATCGGAGTCCCATAGTATATTGGTCGTTAGACCACTCGCCTCGCAAGGGTTCGATTCCCATTCTGAGCAAAACCTTAGGCAAGTTTCCTTATTCCACACGCATCTGTTTACCTGGCAGTAAGTAGGAACCCAGTTGTTAGTCGGATCACTTTCTGGAGATAATAATCCCTTCAAAAAATAATAATAATAATTTGGTCACTCAATGCACAACTGTTTGTGGGACACTGCTGTGCGCAATTGGCTGCCGCGTTTCGCCCACAAAATACCCAGTCAATTCACTTTAAAATATACGTATCCTGTGAAGCGCTTTGAGACGTCTCAATGACGTGATAAGACGCTATATCAAATGTCAGGATTATCACTGTTATTGTTATCATAAGAATAATAATCCCTCCAAAACCCCAAAACAGTAATAAATGGGTCATTTTCAATCTGCGACTGTTTGTGGGACATTGCTGTGCGCAATTGGCTGCCGCGTTCGCCCACAAATATACAGTCAATTCACTTTACAGTGTGTTCTGTGAAGCGCTTTGGGACGTCCTCCCGACGGGAAAAGCGCTATATCAAATGCGAGGATTATTATTATTATTATTATTAACTGTAACCCAGTGAGTGGGTCTGTGCAGCTGTAAGTGACTGAGGGAGCTGCTGTCCCCGCCGCTGCCTGTGAGGGGCGCTGTGGGGCGAGGCTCGCTGATTGGCCAGGCGGCTGGCGGGGTCAGAGGGCAGTAAGATGGCGGTTCCCATGAGCGAACTGCTGAGCTTCTGCGCGGAGCCGAGCGGCGCGGCCTCGCGGGTGGAGGTCAGGTTCATCAGCGGCCTGAAGGTGAGAGGGGCCCCGGGGAGCGGCTCTGCCGTGTGCTGGGGTGACCGGGGCCGAGGCCCGGCCCCCGCTGGCGGGAAGCCTGACCCGCTGACCCGCTGCTGGGACTGACACCCGAGGAGACCCGTCACCACGTGGCACAGCGTCTCCAAACCAACCCGCACCTGCGGGTGTCCCGTCCACACACACCGAAACCCCCCACACGGGGAGTTGGAATGGAATGCTCTCTCTCCCTGGAGGGACACCTCCTGGTTACCTAATTCTGGAGAGTATTAGGGCACAGGTCGGCGAGAGCTAAGGCTTGGGGACCCCAGAGTGTGCGTTGGGGTAACTGCTGGAGTCTAACCATAGCAGCATAGCCTGCCATTGAGAGTGCTGTCTGGCCAGCTTTCCCGCTGTGTGTCCAGCTGGGACCACCCTACCCGTGAGGGCTTTGGTTTGCAGGGTTAACAGGAGCTGAGTGGGAGGATTCCCTGCCCCCAGTGACTGGTCTGCCCTTCCAGGTCCTGGTGATGAGCCAGGCTGGGCTGTGCTGCCATCAGCAGTGCCCTGGAACACTGCGGACCCACTTGGCTCAGGATCCCGACGAGAGACCGTCACAGAGGGTGGGCTTGATTCTGACATTCTGTTGCCAAACATGTCACCTTGGAGCCAGTTCAGCTCTGAGGTGATCCGCTTACCTCCCATTCAGCACATAGCCAGGCTCCTCGCACTTGCGTCTTCCCCAGGGTCCCGCCGCTGAATCTTATTCTCAACCATCAGCAACGTTTTGTGGGAAACTGCAATCCAGGCTCAGAACCAAGGCCAGATTCTGTTTAAGAAACAGCTTTTAATAACGGCCAAATTACTGAAGGGTTTCACACAATTTGGAGCCACTTAAATCGGTTGCAGATCTGCCTGGCTCAGGAACCGGGCTGGAGACCGCCACAGAGGGTGGACTTGATTCATACATTCTGTCACCAAACATGTCATCTTAGAGCCAGCTCAGCCCCAAGAAGACCCCTCATACCATCCCGAGGATAATACTGGGGCTCAACTGTTGAGCAAATTATCAGTATCCTCACAGCTGGACTCCCTGTCTCTGGTCTCCTATCTTACTCCACTGCTTGTTCCCGTCTTCAGTCCTACCAACGATGGTCAGCGACTGTGCTCACCCCACACCTGCCTCGATTGAACCCTTCATCTTGCTTTTTCTCTCAATTTCTTCAAAACTCCTATAAAATTGATCTCTTGTGATCTTGCCTTCGGCAACATCATTAATTTATTTTACCTCTACTCCCTGCTGGGTGAGCTGCATTGTTTCTGTAAAGTGTTTCATTTATGAGTTGGAATAGAGTAGGGACAAGGCAAAGGGATTTTTATAGTGAGTTCCTGAGAGAGAAAAAAAATTGTGAATGAAGGCTCAGCTGCTGATGGTGAAATGGATGAAGTGAGGAACGAGCAATAGTCGGAGGAGGCAGGGCTGAAGGAGATGGCGACTCAGGAGATGATGAGGGGGGTTTCAGGATGAGGATCCATTGGGATCTGGTGGAGTCTGGCAAGGAGGGGTGATTGAAACATAGAACCATAGACATTTACAGCACAGAAGAAAGCCATTCGGCCCATCGTGTCTGTGACTGCTCCCTCAAGAACAATCCTTTCATTCCCTTTTCCTCGCCCTTCCTTTTACCCTATAGTTGACTCCTTTTAAAGGTATTTATCTAGTTCCCTTATGAAAGCTAATTTTGATTCTGCCTCAATCACCGCTCCCAGCAGGGAATTCAATATCCTAACCATCTTAAATTGATGCTCTCTAGTCACTGACTCACCGCCCACGAGCACATGGAGTTTGATTCAGGAGAATTAATAATGATAATCCTTGCATTTGATATAGTGCTTTATCACATTGTTGAAACACCTCAAAGCGCTTCACAGAATATATTGTAAAGTGAATTAACTGTATATTTTGTGGGCGAAACACAGCAGCCAATTGCGCTCAGCAATGACCCACGGTGGATTGAGTGACCAAGTTATAATTTTTTTTAAAATTGGACATTGCTTTGATGGCTGTCCTGGCCAATGCCCTATTTCTGTTTGTAACTGACTTTGTTTCTTCTTTTGAAGGGAAAGGGACTCTTTGCCACTAAAAGTGTAAGGAGAGGGGAAACCATCTTTGTGGAGCGCCCCCTGGTGTCTGCACAGTTCTTTTGGAATGCACTCTATAAATATAAGGGTAGGTGTCTTACCTCGAAGAATGATAGCGAGAATCTGGGGCAGGAAACATGGAATTCACTACCACAAACAACTGGTGGGTCCAACCCTGTTGAATATTCAATAGGGAGGTCAGGGAATGTTTGGTGTGCAAGGGTTTGAAGGGATATGATGAAAGACTCGATTGGCTGAATGGCTTCCTCCTATTCCTTGTTTTTTATGCTCTTGTGGGGGAGGGGGGGGGTGTCGGGGGAGGGATGGTAGGTGGGTACTTTAAGTTGGCATACATGTGGGAATCTCCGAGGCAGGTGGGGTTTGGGTTTACATGTGGGCGGAGGGGGATTACTGCACAGGTTGAGGGGTTGTTTTGTGGGCTGGATTGGTTGTGCAGGGGCAGAAGGGTTGGTGATGGGGGTTAGATGAGCTGGGGTGCGTGGGGTGTGTTACTTATACTGGGCTGATTTTGCAAGGCAGAAGGATGGGATTTGGGAGAGTTGAGTGCAGGTTGGGGGGGAATTTGCGAGATGTCACTGACCTGTGATGTGCTGTGCTCTGACCTGCTCTGTGTGTGGACAGCTTGTGACCACTGCATGCGCCCCCTGGAGACAGCGGACGAGAATGGCCGGAGGCTCTCAGCGAATCCCGACCTGATACTTCCTCACCAGGAGCAGTGCAGCGTCCGCCCACAGCTCCACCAGCTCTGTCCCTTCTGCCAGGTACCAGGGAATGGCACGCCAGGAAAAGCTTAGCATTCCGGGAACGGATGGCACACGCGAGTAGCGGCGCATAGTTGGTGCTCGGAGTAGTGTAGATTGGAAGCCTCTGAGCTCAGTATGTGTGTTGTCGTCCTGACATGAGAGGCTCTGTATAAATACAATTTGTTGTTGTTGTATGGGACACAGTGACAGGCTGCTCAGCCCATCAATACAGCACTTGTCGTTTTCTCCACACCAACTGCTCAGTCAGCTTGGCTCAGCTCATCACATTCTCGCCTCTGAGTCAGAAGGTTGTAGTTTCAAGCCGTCTTTGAGCTCACTGTCTAGGCTGACACTCCAGTGCATTGCTGGGGGGAGTGGTGCATTGTCGAAAGTTTTATCCTTCGGATTAGATGTTAAAATCTAGGTCCCATCTGTGCCTATTCAGGTGATTGTTAAAGATCCAGCAAAGAGAGCATTTAAAAAACGAAGGAATTTCTCTCTCCAAGTATCCTGGCCAACAATCCCCCAGATAAATTGCTTGGTCACTCACCACGAGCTGTGTCACACTTTGTGGCTGCTGTGTTTGTCTACAACAACAACAACGATTTATGCCATAAATCAAGAAATATTCAATCAAGAAAAGCTAGAAACACACTGTTGTCTTAAAACCGACTCACCTAGACGAGTGCGAATGTTCATGGATTAGTCACCACTTGTCTTATCTATAAAGCAAGCCATGGACTCGGTCCTTCCTACTGCTCAATCTATTAAACTTTACCAACTGACAACTTCCTCCCTTCTGCAGGGACATTGGCCTGCTCCATGTTCCTCACCCTGCCTGCTCCACCATCGCCAGTTGAGCCTTCAGTCTTTCTGTCCCAATCCTCTAGAACTCCATCCAGAGCTTCTTCGCCTCATCCCCTCCCTTGCCTCCTTCAAGGCCCGTCTTAAGACCTTCCTCTTTGACCGTGCCTTTGGTTATCCTTCCTCCTGCACCCCACTTGCCCTCTACTCCTCGTGATCCCAACCCTGCAGCTTGGGTCCAAATCCCTGACTGTCCAGCTCCTTGACACAAGAACAACTTGCATTTATATAGCGCCCCTCACGCAGGGTGCGTTTGACAGTGGCGGAGCATGACACCGAGCTGGGTGGATGTGACCATACGCACTGTCAAAAAGAAAGGTCTTCGGGCATGACCTAAAGATGGGGGAAGGAAGGGGAAAGGGGGCGGGATAGAGGAAGAGTGTTCCAGAGTTTTGGGGCGTAATGGCTGAAAGTGCGGCCACTGATGCTGGAACGGAGAACACGAGGGACATGCAAGAGATCGGAGCCAGTCAAGCGGAGGCAGCGGGTAGTGGTTTGGGTAGTAAGTCAGGGAGGTAGGCAGGTACCATGGTGTGAAGGGATTTGAAAACAAGTGTGAGGATCTTGAAATCGATCCATTCAACAATAGTGAGCCAGTAGAGCCTGGATAGAGCTGGTGTGATGGGGGGGGTGGGCGGCGGAGTTTGGGATCTTGTGGATGGCAGAGCTGGGGAGACCGGCAAATGAGGGCATTTGAAAAGTCGAGTCGGGAGGTGACAAACACATGGACGGAGGTACAGTTAGAGGTGACAATGTGGCGGAGGTGGAGGAAGGTGTCAGGAACTGGATGTGGGGGAGGAAGGACAGCACGAGTTCGGTGAGTCTGAGGGATAGGCCGGGGAGGTTGAAGAGGTCAGAGCCGCAGGACTGAAGACGTTGACGGGAGGCAAGGAGTATGGCTTCCGTCTTGTCAATATTTAGTTGCAGAAAGGTGAGCTCATCCAGGCCCTGATGTCTGCTGAACAATTCGACAGAACATCGACGGACCTAGAGTTGTGGAGTCCTGTAGCTCAGTGGTTAGAGCACTCGCCTTGCAAGCGAGAGACCTGAGTTCAATTCCAGGCACAGGGCGAAACCTTGGGCAAGTTTCCTTACTCCACACGCCTAATAATAATCCCTTCATAAACCAAAAACAATAATAAAATTGGTCATTTTCAATCTACGACTGTTTGTGGGACATTGCTGTGCGCAATTGGCTGCCGCGTTCGCCCACAAATATACAGTCAATTCACTTTACAGTGTGTTCTGTGAAGCGCTTTGGGACGTCCTCCCGACGTGAAAAGCGCTATATCAAATGCAAGGATTATTATTATTATTATTATTATAGAGTTGCAGCTGGAGGATGAGAATTAGATTTGGGACATGCTCCCAACGTGAAAGACGCTGTGTAAATATAATTTTTTGTTGTTGGTGGTCTACACTGAGCCAAGCTGACCCCTGTACTGTGTCTGTCCAGGTGGTGTACTGCAGTGCAGAGTGCAAACAGGTAGCCTTTAATCAGTATCATCAGGCTCTGTGCCTCGGGCCCTCGAAGGACGACCCTAAGCATCCTCTCAACAAGCTGCAGGAGGCATGGAGGTGAGCACAGACCCTGTTTGGGAGTCTCAAGTCTGAGCTACATCTGAGTGTGTTTATCTCTCTCTCAGATGTTTATGTGCGTGTGTATGTGGGGGTGGTGGAGGAGGCATGAGTGGGGGCTCTTGACAATCGCTCTCATCCCCCTCTGCTGTCCCCCCCATAGATTCAGGAGAGGAAAGGAAAAGATAAACACCTTATTGTCGGCAACACTGGTGCTCTCTCCCCCACTGGAGCTGTCTACTCTAATCCCATTCCCTGCTCTCTCCCCATTGTGTCTGTGCTGGTGCTCGCTCTCCACTGGAGCTCTCCACTGTAATCCCATTCCCTGCTCTCTCCCCATCATGTCTGTGTTGGTGCTCACTCCCCCACTGGAGCTCTCTACTCTAATCCCATTGCCTGCTCTCTCCCCATCGTGTCTGTGTTGGTGCTCACTCCCCCACTGGAGCTCTCTACTCTAATCCCATTCCCTGCTCTCTCTCCATCATGTCTGTGCTGGTGCTCGCTCCCCCACTGGCTCTCTACTCTAATCCCATGCCCTTCTCTCTCCCCATCATGTCTGTGCTGGTGTTCGCTCCCCCACTGGAGCTCTGTACTCTAATCCCATTCTCTATGTTATATTGTTATAATAGCCATGCTGTAACACTGCTTATTCTATGTCTGGGTGTTTCAGGAACATGCATTACCCTCCGGAGACTGCCAGTATTATGCTCATGGCCAGATTAGTTGCCACAGTGAAGCAGGTAAAGAGGCCGTCAGAGGAGGGGCGGGGGCGGGGCTCATGGGTGTGACAATGAGACACTGCGGAGGATGTTGGGGGAGGTACTTGTCAAATGAGAGAATTTTTACCTTCAAAATTATAAGTGTCCACAAAGTCCTGTTATCCCCACATTTTTTTTCCTATAATGCACTGAACAACAACTGAAACATGTGGAAGAATCATACAGTCTTACAGACCGAAGGAGGCCATTCGGCCCATTGTGCCTGTGCCGGCTCTTTGAAAAATTAGGCCAACTAGTCCCACTTCCCTGCTCTTTCCCCATACCCTGCAAATTTTCCTTTTCCAATGTATATTTAATTCCCTTTTTAAAGTTATTATTGAATTTGCTTTCATCACCCTTTCAGGCAGCACATTCCAGACCGTAACAACTCTCTGGGTAAAAAAAATCTCCTTGTGTCCCCTCTGGTTCTTTTGCAATTATCTTAAATCTGTGTCCTCTGGTTACCAACCCACCCACCAGAGAAAACAGTTTCTCCTTATTTACTCTTATCAAAACCCAATTATCAAAATAAATCATCGGAATGATAATTGTATTTAGAAGCTCTTAGTTGTATTCAGTACAAGTGTTTTAACTGTATTTAGACGTCCAGAGGATCGGTCGGTGTGAGTGAGTGCCATTATTTTCATGGTAGATTATGATCCGTCACCATGTTCAATGACATCTTTAGTAACGTGAATGTAGTGAGGAGGTGAAATACATCTCTGACAGCTTGTTTCAGCTCCTCCGTAGTCTCACATCGCTGTTTTGTAATAGGGGATAACAGGACTTTGTGGACACACCGTACTTCACAGTGAACCATGTCAAGTGTAGTGACTGTTTTGTGTAGCTCCACTTTCTTTATGTAAAGCCTCCCATCTGTGGTGTCATCCAAGTACATCTGCAGTGCACCATCTCTATGGCCTTGACTTTCTCCCCATGGGGAGTGGCAGAATTGGACACTGGGCACAGACTAACCAATATACGTTTACTCATTAACGTACATTTCCTCTTATTCTTTTTCCCAAAATTCATCATCTCACACTTGTTGTTAAACTTCACTTGCCACCTTTCTGCCCATTCCCAGCTGTTTGTGTCGGTTTTGCTCAGCCGCTTGCATTCTGGGTCAGAAGGTTGTGGGTATGGTCTTCCCACGTCAGAGACTTTGAGCTAACTGTCCATGATGGTGTTCCAGCACAGTCACTACACTTGTGGAGTTCTCTGAGACCTTTTGACATTGTAATGCTGTATTGAGTGGAAGGAACGCGCTCTCCTTGTTTTCTGCAAGTATCCCCTCTCCCCCTCCCCTCCCTCCCCCTTCCAAGTCAGGTGATTGACGTTTGCTGTGTGTGTCTCTCAAAAGGCAAAGGACAAAGCTCGCTGGCTCAAGCTCTTCTCCCAGTTCTGCAGCCGAACGGCCAACGAAGAGGAAGAGATTGTGCACAAGTTAATTGGGGACAAGTTCCAGGTCAGTATTTCTCAGGCCCAGGCCTCGCACTAGCCCGTGCCTCCGGGCCTGTCTTCCATCGTCTGATTCCCTGTCCACCAGCCCTCACTTATCCCTCCGCCGCCCATCACCCATCCCCGAGCCCTGCTCTATATCGCCCAATCCCCGGAGCTGAACTGCCATTGTTTGAGAGTGACCTGAAGCATTGCTGTTCACCCACTGGGGAAGGAATGGGCAGCCTTCAACGGAGGGGGGAGAAAAGTTCCATAAAACTCTGGGAGGGTTGGGGTTGCCTGCCTGTACCCCTCAGAGAGGGCAGCGGTGTCTGCCTGTACCTACTTGTAGATTAGTGGTGTTATCAGGTTCTGTGGTGGCAGGTATGTGTGTCACCGTGGTGATGGGTGTGTATGTCACTGTGGTGACAGGTGTCTGTGTCACTGGTGACAGGTGTCTGTGTCACTGGTGACAGGTGTGTATGTCACTGGTGACGGGTATGTGTGTCACTGGTAACGGGTGTGTAAGTCACTGTGTGAAGGGTATGTGTGTCACTGTGGTGAAGGGTGTTTGTCACTCCGGTGACAGGTGTGTGTGTCACTGTGGTGATGGGTGTGTGTGTGTCGCTGTGGTGATAGGTGGGTGTGTGTGTGTCACTGTGGTGATGGGTGTGTGTGTGTGTGTCACTGGTGATGGGTGGGAGTGTGTGTGTCACTGTGGTGATGGGTGTGTGTGTGTGTGTCACTGTGGTGATGGGTGGGTGTGTGTGTGTCACTATGATGATGGGCGGGTGTGTGTGTGTGTCACTGTGGTGACAGGTGTGTGTGGCACTGTGGTGCCAACAACAACAAGATTACATTTGTATAGCGCCTTTCATTTCGGGAGGACGTCCCAAGGCGCTGGACAGTGTACAGCATTTCAGACCCGAGCTGGGGTTGGGGGAGTAAGGGAGGGGAGGGGAAGAGGGGTGGCCGATGGCATGGTTGAAGAGGAGGGTCTTGAGGCAGGACTTGAAGGAGGCTAAGGAGGGGGCGAGGCGGAGTGACTGGGGGATGGAATTCCAGAGGTGCCAGGTGCTTGTGTGTCACTGTGGTGATGGGTGTGTGTCTCACGGTGAATGTGTCACTGTGTGTGGTTGTCTCCAGGGGCAGCAGCAGATCCTCAGACAGCTGTTTACTGAAGCTCTGCATGAGGAATGTCTCGCTCGGGTAAGTGACTAACCTCAGACCCTGCCCTTGCCGGGTAGTGGGCGGGGGTGGGGGAAAGGAAGGTAGGAGTTGGAGGGAAAGGGGGGAGATTCAAGCCACTTTCCCAGCCTTGCACGCACTGACTCGTCAGGACAGCTCCACGGGGGTCAGTGATGAACATCACAGGCCTGTTCCTGTCCTTCCGCCCAATACAATCTCCCTCAGGGTGTCGGTAGATCAAATGCTTCTTTTTTGTGTGGGGTGTGGGGGGGGCTGGGGGGTAGGGAATATTCTCTCTCGTCTGTTTGTTGGTGAACCAACTATTGTGGTCTCCTTGGGGCTCCAAGGCAGAGTGACAGCAACATAATGTAGGAATCGAGTCAACCCTTTCAATGGCAAGCAATGTGATTTTAGCTGGTTAGACTCCAACAGTTACCCCAACCAACACACAATCTGTCAACCTGTGCCTAATATTCTCCAGAATTAGGTAAGCACACTGCGTCCCTCCAGAGAGAGAGAGAGCACTTCCATTCCACACAGAAATTCCATGTATTCCCATGACATTACATGCATGGAACTCAATCTAGTTTGGAGACTTAAGCACATTGACGGGTTTCTGATCAACAGCTGATCACGGTGATGGGTTTCCGGGTGTGTCAGACACCCGGCTGATCACAGTGGTGGGTTTCCATGTGTGTCAGATCCGGATGACATGTGTTGTGCGCTCTGTTCCAGTGGTTCACTCCTGAGGGATTCCTTTCACTCCTCGCATTGGTTGGGACTAATGGGCAAGGCATCGGGACCAGGTGAGTCTCAACAAAGCCTGAGAGATCACACTACAGGACGAGGCAATTCAGCCAATCATGACTGTACTGAACTCTCCACTCTAATCCCATTCCCTGCTTTCTCCCCATTGTGTCTGTGCTGTTGCTCACTCCCTCACTGGAGCTCTCGACTTTAATCCCATTCTGCTGTCCTATCCCCGCATACCTTGCTTGGTGGATGCTAAAGATCCCGCGACATTATTAGAAAAGAGAAAGGAGTTTCTCCCGACGATCACTCATTCTTTAGTGACTGTTTGTGGGATGATACTGTGTGCAAACTGCCTATTGAATCTGGCTGCAAATAACTAAAGGGCGGTGGAGCTGAGATGAGGGCAGTAGAGGAGGGGTGGGGCAGTGGAGGGGAGAGGAGGGGCGGAGCAACTGAGGGGAGAGAAGGGACAGTGGTGGGGACAGGAGGAACGGAGCAGTGTTGCTGAGTTGTGCTGATGGGTTGCCTCTCTTTGCAGCTCTCTGAGTCAGTGGGTGCACGGGTGCGATGCACTGGAGCTTCCTGCACAGGAGCGAGAGGAGCTGGACGCCTTTATTGACCAGCTGTACAAGGACATCGAGAAAGGTACAACAATTGCCACCACAACAACAACCACAACAACCAACACCACCACAACAAGAAATTACATTTGATGTAGTGCCTTATCACCTCTTCAAGATATCTCAAAGAATATACTGTAAAGTGAATTGACAATATATTTTGTGGGCAAAACATGGCAGCCAATTGTCCCACAAACAGTCGTGGATTAAGTGACAAAATTATTTTTTTTTGAAGGAATTATTACGCCCCGAAAAGCGATCCGCCAATCAACTAACAACCGTGATCCTACTTACTGCTGGGTAAACAGAGGCTTGCAGAGTAAGGAATCAAACCCAGGTTTCTTGCTTGCAAGGAGAGGGTTCCAGCCACTGAGCTATAGGACTCCACGTGTTGAAAACAACAACTACAACAACCACAACAGTTTTGTAGTCCTGTAGCGTAGTAGTTAGAGCACTCGCAAGTGAGAGGACCCGGGTTTGATTCCCAGACAAGGTGAATCACCCAGGGGGTAGTGGCGGGGGTAGGGGCCAAGAGGTGGGGAGAGTTGATTGAAGTATCAAAGAGCAGAGAGGTCCTTAAGGTAAACATTGAAGGAGGTGAGGGACGGGAAGACTCATAAGGATTATGTGATGGTTCCAGAGGGTGGTAGCAGGTAGGCTAAAGGCCTGTCAGCAATGGTGGGGTGGGTAAGGCTGTTCAACACACCTTTATTAAGGGGGGAAAGCTCCTGAATAATGATTGGAGCAGAGGATCTTGGCTGACTTTCTCCCAGTTGAACCCCAGGGGGCGATGTCTGCTGCCCTCAAGTGGCTACTGGGCACCATGCACTGTCACTTTGCTGGTTTCTGGCTCATTAGGACACCCAGCGTCCTGAACCTGAGCTTCGGGGAGTCGGGAGACGGACAGACAGGAGCTGATGGCTGTGTCTTTTGTGTTACAGAAAGTGGCGAGTTCCTGAACTGTGAAGGCTCCGGCCTCTACGTGCTCCAGAGCTGCTGTAAGTGAGCGTGATCTACCGGCCTGAGAGACAGAGACACACTGAGCCTCAGGGACACTGAGCCTGAGGGACACAGTAGCCTGAGGGACACAGTGAGCCTGAGGGACAGAGACACAGTGAGCCTGAGGGACACAGTGAGCAGTGTGAGCTGAGCGAGGCACTGAGCAGCAGTGAGCTCACACTGACTGGGGCCTCTTCTGTTTCAGGTAACCACAGCTGCACCCCCAACTCTGAGACCTGTTTCCCACAGAGCAATTTCCTGCTGCACCTGACGGCACTGACGGACATCGAGGCGGGAGAGGTATGGTCCAACAACAACGGCAATTCGTGATTATACATCGCTCAACATTCAGGGAAGCGTCTTGGAGTGCTTACAGTTGCAGAGCCTGACAGCGAGCCAGTGAGAGAGAGGAGTTGACCTTGGAGGCAGCATAAGCAGTCAAAAGAGGAACAACTTCAGATGCAATGTGAAGACAGACAAGCAGGGGCGAGGCGGAGGGATTTGAGGGAGAGTTCCAGAGACTCGAGTCATAGTGGCTGAAAGTATGGCTGCCGATGGACAAGCAGAAGGCCTGAGTTTGTCGACCGAAGGGAGCAGGTAGAGAAGTGGGATATGAGCAGGTCAGATATGTAGGGAATTAAATGATTCGTACGCGAGTGTGAGAATCTTGAAATGTTGCATTCAGCAATAGGTAGCTAGTGGAGCCTGGCAAGCAACACCTGCGTGGTTGTGGGGAAGAGGGAGGTTGTCTTCCTTTTCCTAGAGACCGATAACCTGTGTGTTTGCCCCACAGGAGCTGTGTATCAGTTACCTTGAGTGCTGTCAGCGAGACCGCAGCAGGCATTCCCGCATGAAGATCCTCAGGTACCCAATAACAACAACTTGCATTTCTAATAATAATAATAATCCTTGCACTTTACTCATGCAGTTGAGATATCTCAAAGCGCTTCACAGAATATACTGTAAAGTAAATTGATTGTATATTTTGTGGGCGAGACGCGGCACCCAATTGCGCACAGCAGTGTCCCACAAACTGTCGTGGATTGAGTGATCACATTTTTTTTTAGGGATTATTACAACCAAAAAGTGAACAACTGGGTTCCTACTTACTGCTAGGATAAACATAGGCATGAGGGAGCTTTACTCTGTTTCAAACCTATGCTGTCACTGACCTGGGAGTGTGGACGGACAGCATTAGAGGGAGCTTTGCTCTATCGCTGACCTGCCTGTGCTTTTTCCCCTCAGAGAGAACTATCTCTTCACCTGTTCCTGTCCCAAGTGCCTGGCCCAGGCCAGCGATCCTGACCTGACTTCGGAGGAAGAGGAGGAGGCGGAGCTAGAGGATGAGATGACGGATGTGTAACGATGGCGAGCACCGCGGGCACAGGCTGACCCCACACCCACCAGCGGCAAGAGAGAGAGACACGGACACACGCAGAGAGTGAGCCTTCACCCACCCTAAAAAACACAAGCAAATAGCACACAATCTAACTGACTCCCTCCATCACTTGCTGACATCAAAAGAGCGGGAGAGAGACGGAGAGTGAGCGGGAGTGAGAGAGAGAGAGAGTGTGTGAACAAGCAGAGAGAGAGAGAGACAGAATGAGTGGGGGGGGGGGAGAGAGGGCGCAAGAAGTGGGGAGAGAAAAGAAGAGGATAGTGGAGAGTGAGAGCGCAAGTGGGAGGGTGTGGGTGATAAAGATGAGATCTGTTGTGGGGGTGGGGATGGCTTCCTCCATAAACAGCTGAAGGGGCTAGAAATGGGGAGAGAGTGCAGACACAAAGGCTGGAGTGTCAGCTGTCAGAAACTTCTCTGCCTCCCCCACTATCACTCTTTCCCCCTCTCCCCAAATCTTTTTTCACCCACCTCCCCCACTATCTCCCTTCTCCCACCAACCTGAAATCTCTCTCCTTCCTCCCCACATCTGAAATCGTTCTTCCCTCCTGCAAGAGTAGGAAGTACAGAGAGTCGGGGGGGGGGGGGAGGGTGAGAAGCCGAGGGGGTGGTTTTAGTGAGTAGGGTGTGAGCCCCACCAGTTGAGCTGAGCCAGACAACGAGAACAGGTGATGTGCTGTAACCACTTTACACATGTCAGTGTGGGGGGGGGGGGGGGGGTGACTCAATAAAGTCATCGCTCCGCATCGTGTTAAGGACACGTCAGTCAGACTGTGCCTTGTGGGCACGTTCTTTACATTCCCCCTCCCTGCCGAGAGAGGAGAGGAGCTCTCGCCCACGGGGGAAGGTTTAAGGCCCCCACATCGGGGGCTCTGAGCTCACAGTCCAGGTGCTGGGGGAGAAGCGCTGCATTGTCAGTGGCGTTGTGTTTCACGTGAAATGTTAAAAAACTGAAGTATAATGCCACGTCTGCTTATAAAATACACAGTACTACACTTTGCAGTAAATATCTGTCTCAAAGCTGCTGTTCTGTCAGTTGGTGGCTCAGGCTGTGCTGATGTGTAACATGATCATCCCATTTGTTTCCAATTCATCTCAACCTGGGCTGCGCATGAGGGGGTTTAACAATAACAAATTACATTTACACAGCGAGGACATCGGAAGGTACTGGACAATGAGGTGTTTGCACCCGAGCTGGGGTTTGGGTTCAGGAGAGATGGAGGGCTGGGAGGCACAGTCGAAGAGGAAGGTCTTGAGGAGGACCTTGAAGGAAGCAAAGGAGGGAACGAGGTGAAGGGACTGTGTGATGGAGTTCCAAAGTGTGATGGCAGAAAGGCTGAAGTCGTAAAGGCCAATGATAGGGCGGGCCAGGCAGGAGGGGGGGAGCCTGCTGAGCCGAGGTCGATATAGAGTTAGCTGGTCACTAATGTAGAGAAGAGCAAGACCACGAATGGCTTTAAAGGTGTGGACGAGGATATTGAACTTGATTCTCTGGAGGATGGGGAGCCAGTGAAGCTGGTTGGGGGTGATAGGGTCACGAAGTGCGGGAGCTTAGTGCTCAGAACCTACCCACGTGAAGGCCACTATATAAATGCAAGTTGTATCTGTTTAACGTGAAAGATGCTGAGAGAAGATGGCAATACAAAAACACACACACAGGTGTATTTGTGTAATATGCATTGCCTTTCTTTGTAACCAGCATGCCAGACACACAGTCCTACACATTATATACCTACACGCAGGCTCAGACATACACACAGGCACGTGGGCACACAGACTACACACATGCTTGCAAGTTTTGTATGTTTATAAAATAAGTCAATCTCAGAAGCTTTCAGATCTTCCAGCCTTCCAAAGTAGTGCAAAAATTAGTCAGAGGTGTGAGGGGGGTGATGTCGGGGCAAAGGATTGTGTTCTCTGTCTGCCCTGCCCCACCACACAGGATGGCTGCCTGAGCTGCAGACTGGGTGTTGTGGTCACATTGACTAGGATGGAAATGACAGCCCAGGGCAGGCCGCACTGTTCCAGCGATGTCCTGATAATGTACCTGGGCAACACAGGAAGGAAATGACAATCCGGCCACTCCAGATGTTCAAAGAAAGGCACATCCTTGTCAGTGTAGGGAACTGACAGCCAATTTGCAGACAACGATGAGATGAATGAGTGATTTTATCTGGGGGTTGGTAGCCAGAACACAGAGAGAGAAACACCATTCTCTTCCAATGGCGCCGCAGGATCTTTAACATCCACCTGAACAGGCACAGTTGGGGGGAGCTGGGTTTAACATCTCAGCTGAACGACGCTGCCTCTTACAATGCAACCGGCTAAGCTAGCTAGTGGAGTAAAGTAGAGGTTTCATCCTACCCAAGAATTGAATCCGGATCCTCTTGCAAGGGCGAGTGCTCTAACCACTATGCTGCAGGACCCCACTTACCCTCAGTCCACCAGTTTGATCTGGTCCTCGATGAACACGACATTGTTCAGCTCTGAGGGGGTTTGGCCAGCACCAGGTAAATCTACTCGTACCTTGTATGCCTCAAGAGCATCAGACACCAAACCTCATAGTGAATTTGTTTTGGTCAGCCTCATGACTGACATGGGGAAACCCATCACCATGCTTAAGAGTATATAAACCAAGCTGAGAAATCCATCCATCTCAACTACATATGAAATGCATGTGAACATTGCCACCATTTTCCTGACCGCAGCTCGGGCACATGTCCCTTCCCATTGAGTGATGGTTTCACCAGTTGGAGGTGCCGAGTTTAAGCAGCAGCTGCTTATCTTTCTGCAAGCCAATCAAGGTGGATTCCAGACGTTGGATATATAAATGTGTACTCGAACTCCAGGTAACGTCTTCCAGTAGCTGTTGCCCCAAACCTCGGAGTTTCCTCAGCTGTCTGGCGGGCATCTGCCTTCAACGTGGTGGAAGGAAAGGAATTTATGTGCAAGTGGGATGCAAACAATTCTCAGATTGGTTTTGATATTTTTAAGCACAGTGATGGGATTGATACCCGGTTGACCAAGAAAAGTGGAAATTTCAGAGAGATTGTTGGAATGGAATGTGCACGCTCTCCCTGGAGGGACACATCCTGTTTATCTCATTCCAGAGAGTATTAGGCGCAGGTTGGCAAGAGCCAAGGCTTGGGGACCCCAGAGAGCTGCATTGTCAGAAACATTGCCTTCAGATGGTTCTATCTGTGCTTGTTCAGGTGTATGTTAAGATCCTGTGGCACTATTTGAAAAGTTTCTCTCTCCAGGTGTCCTGACTGACAATCCCCCAGATAAAATGGCTCATTCGCTTTGTGGGCTAGTGCACAGAACGTTCACCTACAAATACACAGTCACTACATCCTGCAGCGATTTTCTGGGAAGTGTTCTGAGATGCTGCCATTGGCTCTACTTACAAAGACTCCTCCAACATTGTCAGTGAGGTTTGTCTGCAAGATGTAGCAGATATCTGACGGGTCCTCCCTATCTCTCTGATCTACCCCACTCCTCTGCTTCTCCTCTCACTCCTTCCATCTCCCGCAACCAGCTCCATGACCCTATCACCCTTTTCCTTGTGCCTTTCCTCAACCGACTCCACTGGCTCTCCATCCCCCAAAGGATATAGTTTAAGATCCTCATCCTCACTTTTAAAGCCCTCCACAATCTTGCTCCTCCCTACCTCAAACCCTGCCAACTTCTGCGGGCACCTGCTTCACGTCCCCCGCTCTACCCTCGGCAGTCGAGCCTTCAATTTTTCTGCCACCACTGTCTGGAACTCCATCCCAGATGGCCTTTGCCTCGCCCCTTCCCTCCAAGATGCATGTAAAGCTCTTCCTCTTTGACACACTTGACACACCCTTGACTCCAGGACCACTGCTGTCCTGACTGAATGTCTGTCAGACATCAAGTCCTGGTAGGAGCTAACTTTCTCCAGTTGAATGTCAACAAGACTGAGGCTCCCGATTGGCTCCCATCAGTGACTCCACACCTCGGGCACTGACAGCATCACCATCCATGGTTGCACACTCCACCTCACTGAGCCAGTCTGGAACCTTGGTGTCTTGTTTGACCTCAACCCCACATCCAACCCACTCTGCCTTCCCCCACCTCCCCAGGCTGGACTGTGTTGTCCTCAGCAGTGCCCTGGAATACTGCTGACCTGCCTGGTTTAGAAACTGCACTGGAGACCATCACAGAGAGTGGACCCAATTCCAGATTCTGGAACATCAGCCTGGACTGTGAGCACACAGTCCCCAATGTGGGGCTCGAAAACAGAAGCTACAGACCCCCAGAGCGGGACACGAGAGAATCTCTCACATTGAAAAGGCACAAAGAAAAGAGGTAAATAAGAATCGAGTCAGTACAAGACTTATGGATGATTTTACAGATGACCTGGCAACAATCCTCAATCTGAATATGGAATTCACTACCCCAGAAGGCTGTAGATGCTCAGTCTTCAAGGCTGAGACTGATAGATTTTTAAAACACAGAGGGATTAGGGGATATGGGGATAGTGCCGGTAATTAGAGTTAGGTCTGAAGATCAGCCATGATCTTATCGAATGGCGGGGCAGGCTCGAGGGGCCGAATGGCCTACTCCTGCTCCTAATCCTTATGTTCTTATGAAGACACCTGGCCACACCCATATCCTCTGCAGGCAGTGACCACTGCCCTTGGGCACAGTATATGGTGTTCTCAACGTCCTGTTAACTTTTTCTTACAATTAATTTTTATTTTCTGTTGCAGTTGAGTCAAGTGTAACAATGTGACACCAATAACTTCCTCCTCTATTCATGTTACAGAAGATGGCACCAAACATAGGGATGGATCATTATCTTCCATGAAAATAATGATAATAATAATCCTTGCATTTGATATAGTGCCTTATGTCGTTGAGAGACGTCTCAAAGTACTTCACAGAATGTACTGTGAAGTGGATTGACTGGGTATTTTGTGGGTAAAACGCTCACAAAATATTTGATCGCACTCACTCTCACCAACCCTCTGGATGTCTAAATACAGTTAAACACTTATACTGAATACAATTAAGTACTTCTATATACAGTTTTGCGGAGCTCATCACTGAATTGATGAGAGAGGGGAGATGACTCTGCCCGGGAATCAAATCCATGGCGGGAGGAGGGATGTTGTAAGAACGGGGCCAGATCTTCACCTGCTACTCCTC